AAGACTTTTTTTAAAAGTGATATTCTTTGTTTTTTTTAGAGAAAGAGGAAGGGAGAAAAAGATAGAAACATCAATCAGCTGCCTCCTGAACTTCCCCTACTGGGGATCAAGCCTGAAACCCGGGCATGTGCCCCAACTGGCAATCGAATCAGGACTTCTCAGGTTATGGGATGACACACAATCCACGGAGCCACACCTGCCAGGCTAAAGTGATATTCTTGATAAGAGATATTTATAAAGACATGACAATAAAATTAGATATGATGCCCGGCTGGTGTGGCTCAGTGATTAAGAATTGACCCATGCACCAAGAGTTTGCTGGTTCAATTCCTGGTCAGGACACATGCCCAGGTTGTGGGCCCAATCCCCAGTTGGGGACATACAGGAGGCGGCCAGTCGATGTTCTCTCATCAATGTTTGTATTTCTCTCCCTCAACCTTCCTTTCTCTCTAAAATCAATAAAGAAAAAAAAAAACATTAAAAAAAAATTGGTCCTGGCCGGTTTGGCTCAGCAGTTAAAACATCGGCCCGTGGACCAAAGAGTTGTGGGTTCAATTCCAGCCAAGGGAATGTACCATGGTTGTGGTTCATCCCCAGCCCTGGTTGGGGTCGTTCAGGTGATGTTTCTTTCTCTCTCTCTCCCTCCCGCCTCCTTCCCCTTCTTCTTCCCCCTTCCCCCTCCCACTCTGTCTGAAAATAAATGTAAAAATATCCTCAGGTGAGGATAAAAAAAAAGAGGATATGATAATAAAAGCAGTCACTTAATTTTAAACATATACGTACTAGGATTTATTTATTAAAAATTTATTGTTTTTTAAACATGATTGATTTTATTTTTATTTATTTTATTGATTTGAGAGAGGGTCATCACTTTGTTGATTCATTGGTTGATTCCTTTTTTTATTTTGTTTTGTTTTATTTTCTTTTATTTTTTATCCTCACCCGAGAACATTTTTGCATTCATCTTCAGATAGAGCTGGAGGGGGAGAGAGAGAGACATTCATGTGAGAGAGACACATCGAGTGACTGCCATCCACACGACCCCAACCAGGCCGGGGACAAATTGCAACTGAGGTGTGTGCCCTTAGTGGGAACCAAACCCAGGACTCTCTGGTCTGCGGGCCAACACTCTAACCGCTGAGCCAAACCGGCCAGGGCTGATTCTTTTTTTTTAAATGAGTTTACTTTTTAAAAATATGTTCTTACTGCCCTGGCCGGTTTGGCTTAGCGGTTAGAATGTCGGCCCGGGGACCAGAGAGTCCTGGGTTTGGTTCTTGCTAAATGCACGCACCTCGGTTGCAGTTTGTCCCCGGCCCGAATGGGGTCATATGGGTGGCGACCACTCGATGTGTCTGTCTCACATTGAGATGTTTCTCTTTCTTACTCCCTTTCTCCCTCCCGCTCTACCTGAAGATAAATGTAGAGGTGTCCTCAGGTGAGGATTAAAAAAATATATGTTCTTACTGATTTCAGAGAGAGGAAGGGAGAGGGAGAGAGAGAGAAACATTAACATCGATCAGCTGCCCCCTACTGGAGTTTGAGTCTGAAACCCAGGCATGTGTCCTGCCTGACTGGGAATCAAACCAGTGACCTCCTGGTGTATGGGAAGACGCTCAACCAACTGAGCCACATTGTCCAGGCTCCTTGGTTTATTCTTGAATGTGCCCTGACACTGGGGATTGAACCCACAACCTTGGCTTATTGGGACAACTCTCTAACCAGCTGAACTGGAAATATTCTTTAATGTGGTTACCATGGAAGATAATATTTGAAATGTACACCATGTAACTATCACCCAAAATACTTTTTTATCCTTATACAAATTTCCTTCAGAGGCATTTACAAACCACATTAAAATATCTTTTTATTTTATAGCAGTGATCATAGTATTGATCGCAAAAGACATACAGCTTAGTTTTTTTTTTTAATTACCCCCCACCCCAATTTTTGGCTATCTGCAAAAATCAAAGAAGTATTAGAGGAATGAGTTTTGAATAGATGTCTAGCAGTGGTAACATAATTAGAGTAGCCATGCAAGTGAAAAAGATAAACATTTGGAATGGGACAGTGTGCATACAGATGTGTAATTCATTAAAAAATAAAGTCATATAGTTGAACCACACTAAGATTTCAGCAAGTATTTGATAAGGTTGACCTTTGCTTTCTGTAATGTCTCTGAGCTTAAACCTTGTATGTTGTATATTTGTGTTTCTTCAGATGTAATTTTCTGTCTGTTCTCTCCTAACTAGACTGTGATATACCAGGGTCATCATGTATGTTCTCTGATTCACAGTTGAAAACTCTGCACCTGGCAAAGACCAGATATCTATATGTGTTTTATTTAACTGAATTTTGTGGGTGGGGAAAAAAAAAAGAGGTAATGAGAATCTACTGTATTTTTAGGAGCGCCTTTACAGAATGGTCATTTCTTATTTTTACAAAATTGTGGGAGTAAAGAGAGAGAGAGAGAGAGAGAGAGAGAGAGAGTGTGTGTGTGTGTGTGTGTGTGTGTGTTTTACCTCATTTCTAAAATGCCTGAATTCTAGATCTCACTGTAACATGTTAACTGGACTTCGTGGGCCTCCTGCTATTCAAAAACACAGTGTAGTTTCAAGTTCTTGCTTGGTAGCTACATCTCTGCCAAAATCTCCTATTCACAGAAATACATTTCCTTTCTAATTTTATGAATTTGTAATTTGTTGACTTGAGGTAGACAATGAACTAATTTCAGAGTGCAATAAGTTATCTGAACATTGGAAGCATCTATACAATGGAAACACTTTTTATATATTTAATTACTCCATTTTTAAAAATCACATCACTACTAATTGAAGAAGTATATGTTTTAATGCACAGACGACGTGGCAGGCTATAAGTTATAGTTCATTGGTGTTTCATTGTTCTAGTGTGCAGATTTGGGTGATTAAAGTCACATTGGCATTCTCACAAGTAATGTATTGGTTGTCATGGTTTCAGGCATGTTTACATGTTTGGGTGGGTAATAATAGTTTTAAATCATTGAATTGCAATGTGAAAATATGTATATGAATGTAAAATACATTATAACACACCCCTTTTTTTTTTATCCTCAGCTGAGGACATTTTTTTCCAGGTTTTGTTCAGATAGAGTGGGAGGGGGAGAGAGAGAGAAACATCGATGTGAAAGGGACACATCGAGTGGTTGCCACCCGCATGACACAACCAGGGCCGGGGACAAACTACAACTGAGGTACGTTCCCTTAGTGGGAACCGAACCTGGGTCTCTCTGGACCGCAGGCCGACACTCTAACCGCTGAACCAAACCGGCCAGGGCAACACACCCTTTTTTGATCATGGTTATTTGGAGTTAAAATAACTAGAGCTTGAAATATTTAATTTGAAATAAACCAAGCCCTAGACATTCTGATTTTTAAAAAATTATTGGAGACCTTCATTTTTAATCTGCCTTATATCACATTATCAGTTTTGCCTACTTTAAACTTTTAGCTAGTCAGTCAGAATTTTATTTTATTTATTTTTTATTGTTTTTCTTTATTAATTTCAGAGAGGACGGGAGAGGGAGAGAGAGATAGAAGCATCAATGAGAGAACATTGATTGGCCATCTCCTGCGTGACCCCCACTGGGTTTTTGGCCCACGACCTGGGTATGTGCCCTGACTGGCAATTAAACTGGCAGCCTCTTGGTGCATGAGTCGATGCTCAAGCACTGAGCCACACCAGCGGGACTAATCAGTGAATTTTAGATAGCAGATATTTTTTACCATTTTATCTTCATAATCATATTTTACTGGCTTTGATAATCTTATTCTTTTTAAGTAGTACAGATTTCACATATATTCTGCTAGGTACTCCTTTTTTTCTCTGAGCATATGTAATTCTTTCATTTCCTTTGTTGTTCAGAATTTTACACTATTCTTAAAAGTTTGGTGGTTTTTTTTTTAATCCTCACCTGAGGACATTTTTTGTTCAGATAGAGTGGGAGGGAGAGAGAGGAAGAGAGAGAGAGAGAGAGAGAGAGAAATATCGATGCGAAAGAGACACATCGGGTGGCTGCCACCCACACGACCAACCAGGGCCAGGGACAAACTGCAACTGAGGCACGCGCCCCTAGCGGGAACCAAACCCGAGTCTCTGGACCACAGGCCAATGCTCTAACCGCTGAGCCAAGCTGGCCAGGGCAAAAAAAAATTTTTTTTTTTCTCTTTATTGACTTTAGAGAGAGAGGAAGGGAAAGGGAGAGAGAGACTGAAACATCGATGAGAGAGAACATCAAATGGCTGCTTCCTGCATGTCCCCCACTGGGGATTTGGCCCACAACCTGGGCATGTGCCCTGACTGGGAATCGAACCAGCGACCTCCTGGTACATGGGTCCGACGCTCAACCACTGAGCCACACTGGCTAGGCTTTAAAAGTTTTTATTTTAAAAATGCTTACATCTGAATGAGGCAGTCTTATGAGTTTAAAAATGAATGGTCAACATTGGTCGCCAAATTTTAGGTATTTAAAAGTGTTTTTGTTTTGTTTTTTAATCCTTACCCGAGGACATTTTTCCATTGATTTTCAGATAGAGTGGGTGGGGGGGGGAGAAACATCAATGTGAGAGAGACACATTGACTAGTTACTTACTTCATAACTCCGACCAGGGCCGGGGATCTAACGGCAACTGAGGTACATGCCCTTGACTGGAATCTCACCCACAACTCTTTGGTCCACAGGTAGATGCGCTAACCTCTGAGCCAAACCAGCTAGGTCATATTTAAAAGTGTTTTAAGTTAATTTTATTTGTTATAGCTCAAATTTGCCATCATTAAATACTATAAGCTTTAATTATCTTTTCAGACATATATTCATTTCAATCTTTGAAGCAAGTGTTGTATCTGTGTAAGAATTTCACCATATGAGAATCTCAGTTAATTTTTTTAAAGGTATAAAAAAGTGTAAGTTTTGTTAAATATGGTTTTTTTAAATTTATCTGTTAAAAAAAGAAGTGTATTCTTGTAAGCAGCAATCTGGCAGATGATCAAAACTGTCTGACACACTTTGAGCTTGCTATAGCAACAAAGTCTAGCCTATTCCAGTGCTCTCTCCTGTATGACATAAGCCATTACATAGACTTAGACAGTGTAAAACAATAACAATACATAAAAATAAGAGGTATGTTCATTTCTTTTTTCTTTTTTTTTTTTTTTACCCTCACCCGAGGACATTTTTTCATTTTTTCACTGCAGGGGGAGTGAAGCATCTATGTGAGAGAAACACATCGACTGGTTGCCACCCACACAACCCCAACCAGGGCTGGGGATAAACTGCAACTGAGGCACGTGCCCTCAGCAGGAACCGAACCTGGGACTCGCTGGTCTGCAGGCCGAAGCTCCAACCGCTGAGCCAAACCAGGGCTATATTCATTTCTTAAGCTTCAGATTTGTAACCAGCTTCTTGGAATAGTCTATGTTAATAGCAATAATAGGATATTTAGAATATGTTTATTTTTAAATGAAAATAATTTAATGAATGTGTAGTATCCATTGGAATTGTACAGAAAAGAGCCACTTTTTTCAAATTGATATTTTTAGAGAGAGAGAGAGAAACATTGATGTGAGAGAGATACATCAATTGGCTGCCTCCTGCATGCCCCCTACAAGGGATTGAGCCTGCAACCCAGGCACGGGCCCTATCAGGAGCCAAACCAGTACCTCTCAGTCCATGGGACAACGCTCAATCTGGTGTTGTCACACTGTGTTGTCACTCTGAGGCACACCAGCTGTGCGAAAAGAGCCACTTTTTTGTTGTTGTTAATCCTCACCAAAGATATTTTTCCATTGACGTTTTATTTTATATTTTTAGAGTGGGAAGGAAGAAGAAGGGGGGGGGGCGGAGAAAGAGAAACATCCACGTGAGAGAGACACATTGATTGGTTGCTTCCCACACAAGCCTGACGGGGTCAGGGATTGAACCTGTAACCCAGGTACATGCTCTTGACCAGGAATCAAACCTGAGACCTTTTGGTCCGCAGGCCAATGCTCTAACAGTTAAGCAAAACCGGCCAGGGTGAGAACCACTTTTTTTTTTTATCCTCACCCGAGGACATTTTCCATTTTTTTTGTTCAGATAGAGTGGGAGGGACAGAGAGAGAGAGAGAGAGAAACATCGATGTGAAAAGGACACATCAAGTGGCCGCCACCCACACAGCCCAAACAGGGTCGGGGACAAACTGGAACTGAGGTACATGCCCTTAGTGGGAACCGAACCCAGGTCTCTCTAGACCGCAGGCTGACGCTCCAACCGCTGAGCCAAACTGGCCAGGGCAAGAGAACCACTTTTTTAGTGACAACATACTCTTCAGTTTCGCTAAGTAGCTTTCCTTGCATTCACATTTTATATTCACATTTAACATTTCTATCCTGAGCATTTTTGAATTTCTAGTGGTTTTTCTTGAGAGTTTTCTCTTAACCCATTCAAGGTTTTATTTAGCTTACTCTTTTCAAGCTTTTCTTTGTTTTACATAATGAGTTACTTGTGGGATTCTTGTATTTTAGCCTTTTCCAGTAGTACCAGTTTACTAATTTTATTGGTAATAATTAAACATTTCAAAATACAGGCAGAAGTAGCATCATGACAGGAAAAGGTCCATGAGATTAATATGGAGAAGTTTACCATTAGAATAGTTACTGGTGGTATACATTTTTTTGACAGTATAGTAATGTGTGATGATCCCTGTGTACTAGGATAGTCAGTGCAATTACCAATGTAGGAACAAGGTAGGAACAGTTTGGGAGGAAGCAATAAGGGACATAGAGTTTTTTTCCTTTTAGTTTTTGTTTACTGTCCATTTATTTTCACAAACCAAAAAAAATGGGGTGGGGAGGTGGATAGCATATAACCAGTTTCTATAAGTATTTTACATTAATCTTTCGTTTTATAGGGAATTGACTCTCTTTTGGAGTAAACTGCAAAGAAGAATTGACCCTTCTATAGACACTTTCTTGGAGCGCTGTCGTCAGTTTGGTGTCATAGCTAAAACACAGCAGCATTTATTTTGCCTCATTAGAGTTGTACAGACTGAAGTGAGTAATTTATGCTTTTTATGCTGATTGTCCTGGAGGGAAGAAATGAGGGGGCAGATAACTCTCAGGCAGTTTATTTTAGATAAGGGAAAATGATAATAATGGGGTTTAACAGTTAGGGAATTGGACATATCTAGCTGTTTCTGCAGATTGACTTCCTAGAGTTCACAGTTTTTCTTAACAGAAAATAGTAATTTGAAGTGACAGACCACTGGGGGAAAGGAAGGTTATGTTTCTTTGCTGTCACTTCAATCACCACCCTATATCTATCTACTTTTTCTAGAACAGTGTTCTATATTTTATACAGGCATGTTTGTTTGCAAATTAACAAACATGTATATATTATAAATGAAGAAAATATAATTGCATATTCCAGCTTCTTAAAGATGCAGTGATACATTTTTTTGGGTTTTGGAGTAATAGAACAGTTCTAGAATCAACTAAACAAATTGTAAACTGTGCAAATAGGAAATAAGTTAGATATTTTTAGGAAGTAAATATTTCCTAAAATGAAATGAATTGCCATATGTAAAACTTTTGGTTTTTTTGTTTAGCCTTATGTGGCGAGGGTGGGCAAAAGTAGGTTTACAGTTGTGCGTACACTAAACACAGTTTGTTCTTGTATTATTATTTTCCATACAAACAATGTAAATCTAGATTTTGGGTGAGTCTTATTCCTTTGCTCTATTTTTGTTTTTTGTTTTGCATATCTTCTCATGATTAAGTTCACCATATACCCATATCTATAATGGCTCATGGGTATGTTTTATGGATTATTTCTTTGACAACATCCAAGGATTGTTTTTATTTTTAATTTATTATTTTTTTCCAAGGATTGTTATTATACTAAAGTCAAGGTGCACTTGTATCTTTGATATATTCCCTGTCACCTTTTTTTTTAAATCCTCACCCAAGGACACTTTTCTGTTTGTCTTCAGATAGAGTGGGAGGGAGTGAGGGAGGGAGAGGGAGAAAGAGAGAGAGAAAGAGAGAAAAACATCAATGTGAGAGAGACACGTTGACTGGTTGCCTCCCAAACAACCCCAACCAGGACCAGGGACGGAACCACAACCAAGGCATGTGCCCTTGACCAGAATCGAACCTGAGACTCTTTGGTCCAGGGACCAGTGCTCCAACCACTGAGCCAAACCAGCCAGGGCATTCCCTATCACCTTTAATGTAACATTCCTTATTCTGTACTTTATTTGAAATATGTTGATCTAGTTTTCACCATTGAAGCTAGGAAAGGGTGAAAACTATTATCAGATAAGTTAGTTGATAATTATTTCTAATCATTGTGAATGAAGTTGTGTCTCCTGTCACAGAAAGAACATGTTCAAGTAATTACAGAACATGCCTTGTTTTTAAAAATTAGTGTTACAAGTGGCCTTTAAAATTTTTTGTTTTTTAATCTCTAGGGAAAGTATTAGGTTTTTATTGCTGTATAAAAATGCCACAGCCCTGGCCAGTTTGGCTCAGCGGTTAGAGCATTGGCCTGCGGTCCAGAGAGATCCGGGTTCAGTTCCTGCTAAGGGCATGTACCTCGGTTGCAGTTTGTCCCTGGCCCTGGTTGGTTGTGCGGGTGGCAGCCACTCGATGTGTCCCTTTCATGTCAATGTGTCTCTCTCTCTCTTCCTCTCTCCCCACTCTATCTGAACAAAAAATGGAAAAATGTCCTAGGGTGAGGATAAATAAATAAATAAATAAGTAAGTAAGTAAGTAAATAATTGCCACAAAGTTAGCACTTAAAACAGCACCCATTTATTAGCTTACAGTTTTGTAGTACAGAAGTTCAGCATCATGTGGCAAGGTTCTGTGCTTAGAGTATCACAAGGCTGAAATCAAAGTGTTGGCCTAGCTGAGTTTTTATCTGGATGCTCTGTAAAAAATCTGCTTTAAGTTCATTCTTATTGTTGACAATATTTAGGTCCTAATTTTCTTCATGGATGTCAGCCACAATATGTTTTCAGCTCCCAGAAGCCTCCTTCATTCCATGCTTTTATTTTCAAGCCAGCAAAGACACTAAGAATCCTCTTCCTTCAAATCTGACCTCTTCCATCTGACTTCCAGACTTAGACTTAGAGATCAGGTGATTAGGTCAAGCCTACTTAGGTATTCCACCTATCTTAAGATCAACCGAATTGGGGTCTTAATTACATCTGCAAAGTCCCTTTTGCCATATGACATAATATAATCACTTATACTCAAGGGAATGAGATTATATAAAGGGGTTGGTCACTGAGGGCTATCTTAGAATTCTACTTACCACAGGGAACCACAGAACATGGAAAACCTGCTAGAAGACTAGGAATAAAGTGGGTTTCTAACACAGGCCAAGGAATTTGATGTACATCTGTATAACCAGAACCCATTTATCTTTAATCCCAGTCTAGGGTACTTTCCACTATGATCCTATTTATGATTTGGTCTAAAGGATAGAAAAGCTATGGATTGGTAGGTGGAAGGGGAGTGAGTATAGAATTTCTTTCTAATGAAAAGACTTGGCTCTAGCTTTTTAAAAGAGAGAGGCTATCTAACCTAAATCAATTTTTACCTAGTTCTGCTGTGAATGGTCGAAATCCCATAATAGTAATGGTCTAAACAAGATAGAAGTTTCTTGCTCTCTCAGATAAGTAGATAAGCTAGGTAGACAGGCCAGGGTTACTTTATTGGCTCCACATATCCGAGACCCAGATTCCTTTTATCTTCATTAACATACAGCTTCCATCTCATGTTCTAAAAATTATTCCAAAGTGTACTCTCCCTCTTGGTAGCACACCCAAGCCTTTCCCCTCCCCTTCTTCTTCCCCCTAGGTGCATTATCTTTGCTTTTTTCTCTCTTAAGCTCCAAGGGCACTTTTCCTGCTTTTGCACCTTGTGTCCTGAGCCTAGAAAGCCCAGCTGGCTCACTTTTACTACCTCTGTAACTTTCTAAGTAAACTTTCTCTTGTAATTTGAACAAATAAATAAATAAAGTAAAAACTTTCCCAATCCTAGCTGTAATGTCTCCATTCCAGATAACAAGAAGGGAGGTATGGGGGCAAAACATACTCCGACAC